GCTTGCACATTTTTATTTATATATTGATGTGTGCATCTATTCACTTGTTGTTTTGTCTGTCCACTCACCTATACATCCATCCATTGTTCATATTCTTAATTTGCTCAATTGCTTTCTCATCTCTTCACACATTCATTCATACATTTTCCCACTCACTCACTCTGGCCTCATGTATTTGTTCATTAATTAATTAATTAATTCATTCATTCATTCATTCATTCGCTCATTCATTCACTCATCTATAGTCACTCATCATCCAGGTGTCCACAAGCATCAGCACAAAACTGTTTGGGCCTGATGTGCCTGATGCTGTTTGGAGCACTGAGGGATTTAATAGTGAACAAAAATGACCTAAAACCTGCCCTGTGAAGCTGTGTATGTGTATATGTGTGTGACAAGAAACTTTGCCACAGTGTCTTGGTTAGAAGTACTGAATCAGACCTGGAGGTCTAAAGGGACTGTGGTGTGAACAGGACAGTGGCCGTGGCTTCCTGTCCAGTCCTCTGCTGAGCAGACCTGGACCCTAGTGGCTTGCTCCCGATTTTAAGCTGACTTGTTCATTCCCTGTTCTCCAGGCCTCTGTGCAGGGGCCGGGGAGGCCTCCCCCTGAGGCCAATGGTTGGGGCAGAGTGAGGACCTGGACTCATCTGGATGCTGACTTTGGTGGCTTTGGAGGGGAATCTGGGGCTGACACAGGACCCTGGCACACCTCGGAGTACCCCGAAGCCTGCAGAACTGGCCCAATGCCCACTGGCTGGCCAGGAACTCAAGGGCTCCAAAGGGCTAGCTCTGGCAGACGCTGCAGGCTGGAGTCCTGGGCTGTGACCCAGTTCCTGCCCCAGTCTCCCTTCCCTGGGCCCCTCCTGACAGCAAACAGCCTGGGTTTAATTTACAGCAGGACAGGGGGCAATCCATGGCCTTAGCTTCTCCTCTCAGTGAATTTCCACTTGTCACCTTCTCAGCACATGGTGCCCAACAGCTGGACACTGACAGCAGGTCTCTGGGAGCGCCTGCGCAGACTACTAACCCCTGCCTCTTCCCGACAACAGCCTGCACCTTTTCAAATATTTACAAGTGAGGTTCCCTCCGGAGCAGATGGAGGAAGGGGCGGGCTGTCGGGGAGAGAAGGAGAGCTGGGACGCACACAGGGAAGCAGGATGCACAGAGACCCGGAGAAGGGAGTGCTCAGTGCCTGCGTGGACTGGACGCACTCTGAGTACTACGTCTTGGCACGGTGATCATCCCAGAGAGCATGCTCCCTGCTGCTCCTGGGACCAGGAGAGATTCTACTGAGCCCAAGGAGAAAGGCCAGAGCCAGAAGACAAAGTCAGCACGGGAGGCGTGGCTGAGGCTGGTGTGACCCAGCATCCG